ATAAGAATTTTAAATTTGCATCAAAATTATAATTTTATTATTATTATTATAAAGCAATTACAACTCAATATTGTCAGAGATTCTTCGATATGATTTATATTTTTTTATGGCAAATTCGGTGGCAGAGAGAGTTAATCCTTTTCTATAGGCATCTATGTACCTCTACGCCTTTCTTGCAAACTTTCTAATTGATAAAATATCCACGAAATCAAGAGCCTCAGGTACAATTTTTCTTAATCCTTTGAAAGTATAATCGCAGTGGCTTCTTGTATGTCTTTTTATTGCTCCCCAATAGTATTCGATGTAGTTTAGTTCCAGATGAAACTTAGGATAATAAAAAATTTTGTACTCTCGATTAAGAATAATTTCTTCAAGAATATTCTTTTGTTTAATAAAATCAGGCTGTTTAGCCAATCTTCTCATATTGCAACATATCTTTTTCTCATCTGTTGAGCATTTAACACACTTTTCCCTTAATTTTTTATCCTATATCCCTCTTTCTGTTATTACTTCCGCGATTCCTTTTGGTTGTCCTCTTTTTTTTTTGTTTTGATGATTTAATGAAAAAACCATCTCTTGGGATGTGTCATCAAAAAATCGACCGAGGCACATTTTAGGTTGTTTATCTCCAAATCCAACATTCATTCAGCTTGCTACTAATGCATCTTCAGCGAAGGCTCTATGGCTGGAACTGTTGTCAAATCCAAAAACAAGCATTGTATCTGGAAGTGCAATTTTCAAAATATCAATTGCCCGTTCAAGTTGCTTAGCTAGCAATTGAACATTCTAATAACCTTCATAATTTGCACCAATTTCCAACAGCTCTGTAACATAACGTTTTGGGATTTCAGGATGGGCTGCATGTTGCTCTTCAGTTAAATGTACTCGACCCAGTAGCTTATACAAAAATTTACTAACATGGATACACTGATCCCGTCCTTTTGGACGTATTTTGTGTTCGCCTATTAATAATTAAAAGTAAAAGATTTAGCTTTAATAAAAAATATATCATAATTTCATCAAATAAAAGTTGGTCTAAGAATAACAAACAACCTTTAGGCCCCCATCCTGTTTTCTCATCGTCATTTGTGGTTAACGTGGTCTCATCGTATATTATTACACAATGCCACTTTTTTTCAGAAAGAATATTCTTCTCTACTAGTTTAGTGAGATCTTTGTCATTGTATTCAATAAGAACAGGTTCCAATTCCTTCATCATCGGCAAAAAAACTGTTTGTCTATATTGTACTACATCCTCTCGCTCGTGTCCATCAACATATATATCTTTTCTCCACTCTTTACACTCCCATCCTAATTTTCTAAGCCATTCCTATGCCATTTTCTCACATATTGTTGTTTTTTTTTCGATGCCTAAAGACGGGAATACCTCATTCTCTACATATTTTTTTAGAACTTTAGGATTTATGCTAAACTTATTACTTCTTAGATACAATATTATCTGTTCAAAATATGATTTTGTAAATTGCAAAGAATTAAGGTATTATGTACTAAATTATTAAAAAAAAATGCATACTTTCATAGAAATTCTCTCATCATCAATAAGGCTTGATACCTTTGTAAATTTATCACGATTATCTTTCGGAAGTTTTCGCCATTTTACCCAATTTTGTGCCCATGCACCAATACATCGCACCTTATAATCTCCCACCCTAATGAACTAGCAATTGTCGTGCTTGCATTTATTTTGTTCTGACCGTGGTAGTATTTTAATCGTAAATATTGCAATGATGCTTGCAAACGAACCCTTACACCTTTATCCATTTGATTGTTATCCTTTTTTAACATCCCATCTAATTCCTCAATTGCTAGCCTCATTTTTGTTTTCTCATCAATTTTCACTGATACATCTGATTCCACCTCTGTTAACCCCAATTCTGCTGATTCTACATCCATTGATCTCACCTCTGTTAATTCCATTTCCATTGGTTCCGGTTCCACTTCCATTGGTTCAACTTCCATTGATGCAAATAATTCTGTTGATAATTCGCAAGTGGACGTTGAAGCAGAGGCAACATTAGAATGCATCAAAGTAGAGGCAAAGTAGGCAGTGATAGATTGAGTATTTTGTGCGGCCTTCTTTAATTCTGCCTTTTTTTATCTTAAAGTTCTTTTAGAACCTCCAACATAAGTTGAAGGTCTACCCGAAGGTTCTCAGGCATCCTTATTTTTACCAGCTGTTAATAACACAGCAAAGTAATCAGAAGCTCTCTCATCAATGTCCTTGTCTGACCAAATATGGTCATTCAGGTTTTCATAATCTAACTCCTTTATGACATATGCATGCTTCTTGGCTCTAGCAACTTTAAGTTGCTGCTTTCTTTTGCTTGGACGGGTAATGGTGATGGCGATAAAACAATTGAATTGAGTAAAAATCTAATTGTCCTAATCAAGATTTTATGACCGGGATTAAGATATGGATTGTTTAATTATTATTATTATTGCTTTTTTTTTTTTTTTTTTTTAATTTCTTTTTTTTTTTTTTTTTTTTTTTTTTTTTTTTTTTTTTTTTTTTTTTTTTTTTTTTTTTTTTTTTTTTTTTT